CAGGCAGTGACAACACAGAGATGAAGACAAATCAATCCCTGCCCTTAGGGTATAGAAAGTCCTTACTAAAATCAGAGTTCAAAATACAGGTAATTCATAATTAAGAGAGAAGTCAACTTTTATATGGTACTGCTGTACTGATAACGATGATCACTAATAAGAATAAGCAATAAGCAATAATAAGTGATATGATGATTACTACTAATAATAATCAATAAATAATAATATTAAGCTCTTGCTATATGCCAGACACTGTTCCAAGAGCTCTTCAAAGATGCTCTGACTTAATCCTCACAATAGGTGTATGCCAAAACCCTACTATCACTCCCATTTTACAGAGGAGAGGCTATGTAAACTGCCTCCATGTAACAGAGCTGGGATTTGAACTCAGGAAGTGGACTCACTCTCAATGATAAGTTAATGAAGCATCAGGCCCATTGCCACATCATCTGGATTTGGTTTTCTCTGTGCATATCCTGCCTTTGTGCACGTTAGTAATGAACCTAACTTTGAAATAGCTATTCCACAAGATCCACTCGTTTCATACTCTGTATCTTCATTTTTAGTAAACTCCACATTAAACGTAAGCTACACGTTGGTGCCAACAAGGTACTGAAAGCTGTACCCAGATGGCATCAAAATGTCATGTCCTTCTAAAGTTTCCATGAAGCAGACCTAAAACACGGAGAGATTAACAGAGAGACCACACACAATCTGATCAACTTGTATTCATCTGAGCCATTCTGCGTCCCTGGGGCCACAGAGGGAACTGTATCTCTGGGAAAACCCTAACTAGATTAAAAGTTCACTTCCAAGTGCCAAAATGATGCAACTCTTTCTTTTTGAATTGGGGTCAAGACACTCATTTTAACTTTTCTAAACTCCTGAGAAACTTACTAATTTCACAGATGCTCTTCTTTTTTCTGATAGGCTTTTGTGTTCTCAAAGGACAGACTCCACAGGAGGAACATATCGTATACATGATTGATTGTGCAAAAAAAGTTACTAACACGCTGGAGGGGGCCATTCAGAAAGAAAGGGAAATAGGAAGTAGTCAATCTCTGGGTTAGGCAATGCATTTTATCTTATAAATAGCATTCTAACTTGGAAAGGATGCCCCTAAGGTAGAAATGAGTCTGTCCTATTTTTCTAGGCTCCCCAAAGCACAGTCTACAACGCAAAGATAAGTGTATCATGATTTAGTCATAAAACACCCACCACTGTGATGAGTATTTACTTAACACAGTAAATAAGCAAATATATACACTTTTTATATATGTACTATGGCACTGCAGACTAGTATCTTACAAAATATTTGCTCTTATTTTTTCTTTTCTTTCAATAGGATTCATGTTTATGATACAAACATGTGTACACTATATAAGACATACATAATAAACACTGATCTTACCACTAGAAGTGAAACATACAATATTCCATTTAAACTGATTGTGATCACTGTAAAAACTCTCAGTATGTTTCATCAGAAAGATGAAATCAAAAGAAATACCAATACTGAATAATCGCTTATTTTATTTTACTAATTTATGCAGTGGTCACTACTTGAAACTACCTGGATGTATCATCATGAAGTAAAGTGGCTTCTTTTCAATAGGAGTTCACAACTGGCTGTGAGGAAACTCTAAAAGAATTCCCAAATATTATTAATATTAATATTTTGAGACACTGCAGCATGCTGAAACAGGTACAGAGATCCCAAAGTGACCATGTGAAGATAGCAAAGGTTTGGCTTCCAGTATGTTTTTGAAAAACTCAACCTCACTGCTTTAGGGTCATAGCTAACACACTCTTTCAAGCATATTTGATCAAAACATCTATTCTTAGAGACCCATTAAGGGCCGTCACCATATTGTCATCCTTACTTTAAAATTCAGAGGTCTTCACAATCAACTTTAAGGGGCCAGCCCCATGGCCAACTGGCTAAGTTCGCATGCTCTGCTGCAGTGGCCCAACGTTTCACCAGTTTGGATCCTGGGCATGGACATGGTGCTGCTCATCAGGCCATGCTGAGGTGGCATCCCACATGCGACAACTAGAAGAATCCACAACTAAAAATATACAACTATGTACCGGGGAGCTTTGGGGAGAAAAAGGAAAAATAAAATCTTTAAAAAAGAAAAATCAACTTTAAGAGAGAAAAAGCAACATATCCCCTCAACCTGTCAGGCAACTAATCCAGTTCCCATCACGTGCCAAGCCCTGTAATGGGTTCTGTAGAAAAATCCAAAAGAAAGTGATGCCAGCAAATGAGTGGTGAACAGAGAGGACCTGGAAAGGATTCCTGGAGAGGGTCGCAGTGGATGGAGTGGAGTGCACATTTTCACCTTGAACTTCACGCTCTCCACAGGCCCTTACTGACACCAGCACACAATAAGCAAAGAGGCTATGGACAGAGATAACCTAAATACTCAGCAGCGAGGGAATGGCTAAATAAATCATGGAGCTTGAATCTGTGGAGCAGCCTGCCTAACACTTAAAAAGCCCGAGGCCGAAAAATGGTACATCCTGATATGGACTGCTCTATAAAATATATACTTAAGTGGAAAAAGCAAAGCATTCATAAAAAAACATAATGTGAGTAATTTTTCCCTATTTTAACTTTTTACTGGGGAAAATTTTAAACGTACAAAATTAGAGAGGACAGAATAATGAACCCTCATATACTCACCTTTAATAATGACCAACTTATGGGCAATTTTGTTTCTGTTTTTTATCCCCTCCCCAGTTATTTTGGAGAAAATCCCCAACACAGTATTATTTATATTAGTTTTATTATGTTATGTTATCTATATTATACTATTATATATATTGGAATACTAGTATACATCTCTAAAAAGAATTCTTTTTTTTCTTTTTTTTGAGGAAGATTAGCTCTGAGCTAACATCTGCTGCCAATCCTCCTCTTTTTGTGAGGATGCTAGCCCTGAGCTAACACCCGTGCCCATCTTCCTCTACTTTATATGTGCGATGCCTGCCACAGCAATGGCTTGACAAGCAGTGCCATGTTTGCACCCGAGATCCGAACCAGTGAACCCCAAGACACCGAAGTGGAACGTGCGAACTTAACTGCTGCGCCACCTGGCCGGCCCCAAGAATTCTTAAACTATATCATTATCTGGGGCCAGCCCCGTGGCCAAGTGGTTAAGTCTGTGTGCTCCACGTCGGTGGCCCAGGGTTTCACCAGTCCGAATCCTGGGCACGGACATGGCACCGCTCATCAGGCCGTGCTGAGGTGGTATCCCACATGCCACAACTAGAAGGACACACAACTAAAAATACACAACTATACACCAGGGGCCTTTGGGGAGAAAAAGGAAAAATAAAATATTTTAAAAAATAAAAAAATAATTAAAAAATATATATCATTATCATAAAATTTGGGTAAATTTTAAAATTTATTACAAATGTGGGTGTATGCCTAAAATTTTTTATGCAAGGAAATAATTTGGAAAAAAAAAACAAATGCAGCGGCCCTCATTGGGAAAAGAGGCTAGAGCAAGGAACAAGGGAGATTTTACTGTTCATTTAATACCTTTCAGTAAAATTTAAAATATAACTACACAGAAAGCATCGTGCCTGGAAGAGCAGCAGAAAGGCGGCCACGACCAGGGGAAGACAGCAAGGCCCTAGGTGAGGGCACTGAAAACAGGAGGCAAAGCCTGGATGCGAGGTACTCAAGGAGTCCTTTATGTAGATTCAAACACTAGCAGACAACAGTGTCCATCAGCTACAGGATATGAATTCTGTAAACGGGTAAAAAGTAATGTAGAGTTGTGAACGCAGTGACATTGCTAAACATAATGATGATTTTAATCATGTGTGGGTCCAGACATTTATAAGATGAAATGGACTCATCTCAGCCTTCCTACTGCCATATCCAGCCACAGCAGGCTGATGAAATCTATCCCTTAAAGAACTGCAATTTTAAAGGGCACTTCAAAAACACTTCTTTTTTTTTTTTATAGACAAGTTAATGTCTGAACTTTCTCCCTCTCATTTCCTTACGTGTAGGCCTTATAATTTCTCTCCCTTATAGGTTAGAAAAATGCTATTTCCTTCGCTGGTGGTTCTATCTGTTTTGTTATATCCGTATCCCGTTAACAGAGCCCTGGGACCCACTAGGGTAGCTGCAGGGTGACGCTAAAGAAATAAGCCTTTGTGAGTATGAGGTTACATTGAATTCACATCCACAAGTTCTCCACATCATTTAATCTTATGGTCAGTATAATAGGGACTATGAGAAGATGAGGTTAAAAGCAGCTGATTTTTAGGATCCTGTTCATTTCTGTCACAATTTTGACTCCTCTGACGAATCCAAAGACGTTATGAATACAGACAAAAGTCAAGAAAGAGTGGTCTCAATTAGACTAGTTAAAATCCTAAACTTCTGAATATATTTTAACAGAAACACCACTTTCTCACTTTCAAATATCACTTAAACGACGCTAATAACATCTTCTGCAGTAAAGGTCAAAAAGGAAATGTCTTTAATGAATAGACTTTGAACTTTTTGAACTTTTAACTTTTCATTAGCTTGAGCATAAATAAGTTCTTCTGAGAACTTTAAAATAGTTGGTTCTCTTAATCGGGTTATATCCTGCCCCACCGAAACTGTATTTCTTCTATTACTTTACTTAACAAAACTAAATATTTCTAGATAGTATCTAGAAATAGTTCACTGGCAGTATAATTTCTAAATAGATAATCTTTTACTGTACTTAACACCAGGGAACTATTTCTTTTACAAGAACGCTTACCAGAACAAACAACTGATGTATGAACCAAAATGAAACTAACCTAAAATATCGGAGAGGAATCTAACAATATTTTCTACGCAAATTGCCCAATTTTACCTCAAGAGGCTCACGTTCTTCTCTGGCTGAAAATGGATTTTTTTGGCCAGTCTAGAGATTTAGTCCATCAATAATTAAAAACACCAAAGAAAGTGCCACCTTCAGCTACACTTTTCGCAGGGGTACCTGTTTCGTCTGGGGAGCTGGGTGAGGCGCTGTCTTGGGACAGTGTCGTCCAGCTGGACTCCTCATCGCTTGGTGCCAGGTTCTGGATCCGGTGTAGCGCGCAATCAGTTTTGGCCCCTGTTTTAGGATGATCCTTCTTGGTCTCCGGGCTGGATGACACTGTGGCTATATGGCCATCTTCAGGACTGAACTGGGGTTTGCTTGGTTTCTGCAGCAGCAAATCGCCATTCCCAATGATGGTGGAGGCCTGGCCCTGGCCTGGCTGGGACTTCTCTTCCACAACCCTATGCTGGTTGCCTAAGTTCTGCTCTAGTTCTCTGGTTGAGGTTTCCAGGTCTGCATAGTAATCTAGGAAGCTCTTGGTTCTCCTGGGTGGGGAGGGTAAAATTTCACAGCCCGAGGAGTCCTGCGGGTGGGGCTCTTTACCCTCTAACTTCTCAGAAGTTATGTTGATGACTGCAGTGGGACTGACATTTTTGTTGGGGTCCTGCTGCCCTTGTTCTGCAGCCTTCCGGAGCTGGTTCTCCCCATTTTTCACCAGCTTGATGTTGGCAGAGCCATTTCCCAGCAGGGGCTGGGCCGCTGGATCCGACAGGCCCATTGCCGCCTGGATATTAGTTAGTGCATATTTTTTCCTGCATTTGGGGGGTGTGCTGTTCTTGGTTTCTGTGTGTTTTATTTCGGCATTCAACAGTTCATTGTGGGAGGAACGGAGATTAAGGGTATTTGGTGGTGTGGCCGGGCTGTTCCGATTCGCGACGTCTGTGGGTCCGCTGCTGGCCATAAACACTGGCAAAGTGTCTACACCTGAGTCAGCTGGAAAAAAAACAAAACTGGTCGTTAGATGCCTGCCATGATGAAACTACTTAGCATACAGAAAATGGAAAGCAGTATTGTTTCTGTTGCATATGTTCTTGCAGAATTGACTCCTCTTCCTCTTTATTTTCACTGTTTGCTCACGTATTAAATAGGAGCAAATAAAAGGCTTAATGCGGAGACACAAAAGCCAGTTTACAGAAAAGCTAAGTGGTCTGACAGTCCAAATTTTACTTAGGATAAAAATATCTCTCCTTTGCATACATATAAAAGCATTTTCTTCTGGTAGCTGGTCTTCATTTATCACACCCTTGAAAATCATCCTCTTTCTAAACATTTACACCACATTTCTACTCTGTAGTTCCCTCAGGCAACAAAAAAGGTGCTCAAAAATCCTCTGGGGCTCCAGCCTTCTTAATTAACCTAAAAGGTCACTGTTCAGTGATGTCCCATAGGTCCAGGGTAATTTTTTTCAACTACGTTTAGAAATTGTATTCTGAATGCCTGGAAAAATCAAACCTCCATTAGAGTTTGCTAACCTCTTTGTGAACATTTTTGACCTGGGCTTAGTGTTCATAGCAAACAGAGATTCTGGAAAGATGGCTCAACTGCTCGAGAACATACACACACACACAAAACCATTACTAGTACTGTAGCGTTGAGCCTTTGGTGACAGACGTGTTAGAGCCCCCAAAGGGATCTGAGTATATTCCACTGAATTAAAACACAGACTCAGCTGTCTGCAGTCACCACGTGCTCTCGCAGAGCTCCTGGGAAACTATCTGACAGTAACATTTATCTCAAATATTGTCCGCACCTTCAGTGATTTATTCCATGTGTCTTGCTAGGAAGAAAAAAAGGCTTCTCAGACTAGAAGGGAATAAAACTCATCAGCAAGAATTCCTAAGGTTTCACATTTGTCAGTCTATGAGGAATGACTTCTTTCTTATCTGATCCTTTGCCCTCCACAGACCTCTGTGAGTGCTACACCAGCAGGAGTTGAACCAAAGCACAGCTCCTAACATTCCTAAAATTGTATTGTGACAACTCCCTCTTCCTCCCCCAGGCAAAACAGGGCCCTCCACAGCAGAGGAGGGCAAGCCTTTCCCTCTGGGAGCTTAGAGGTATCTCTTTCTAGAATCAAATACTCAGGATGGGCTATTTTAGAAAAGAGTCACCCACTCATCCTAGAGTCTGGGTGCTTCTGGGAAGCTAAGCAACATCTGTACACTCTAGGCAGTGTCCATATTTATAACAGAATGACCACATGGCCCAGAGAGACAGTTAAGTGACGTAACCCAAGTGCTTAGACCTGGGGCCCCATTCTTTAGAATGATTATTTATAAGGATTCCTGCTTACCCAGCACCCCACCTCAACACTTGGGCTTCATTTTATAGGAATAGAGAATCCAGTGCCTTTCTCCCTTTTAAACAATACTCTGATGACTAAATTTTTTAAAAATGTTTCCACTGTTCTGGCCATTACTACCTTTCTATGGCAAACATAAGTTTCAATTTATAACCTCACTCAAGAGTAGCATTTGATATGAGAAGGGCCCAACCCGAACCCACCTGAAGTGTTCCCTGAGACACACCGCCATAACAGACACACAAGAGAAAATGATATTTAGACTCGAGTATTTCGAGTGACATTATTATGAGAAAGACGGAAATCTGCTGGCTTTTTAAAGATTTTATTTCTCCTTTTTCCCCTCAAAGCCCCCTGGTACATAGCTGTGCATTTTTAGTTGTGGGTCCTTCTAGCTGTAGCATGTGGGACACCGCCTCAGCATGGCCTGATGAGTGGTGCCATGTCTGCGCCCAGGATTCGAACCAGCAAAACCCTGGGACACCGAAGCAGAGCGCGAGAGCTTAACCGCTCAACCACAGGGCCAGCCCCTCTGCTGGCTTTTTAAAAAGCATAGCAAAAAATTTCTATTAGGCTATTTTATGATGCTAGGTACTATATTCTAACAACATTATTAGGGAAAAATTTTTATTTTCTTTGTTTATAACCATAACATTTTCAGAAAGAATACCATCAAAATTTCTAGGTGATTTAATATTTAAGTAGCTTTTATATCCTGGATGTGACGGATGGAAACTTTTAGCCATGTTTTCATCAGCCTTTTGGATCCCATTGCCCTCCCGATGCCCTCTGTAACTCTTCTGCTGGCTAGAAATCGTCAGAGGAGGTGTGGGAGAGTTAAGTTAGAACGATAGGACCATCCTAACCAAAACAGCTCTGTATACACTGATTTTATAGATCAAAGCCTGAACACAGTTTGAGTGTGTCTTAGATATTAAATGATGGTATCATCTGGAAGCAAAATGAAAGGTTCAGACCTAGAATGAAGGCAGCCAGGTTAATCCTATGAAGTATGTAGTTGTCTCTAGGAGTTAATACATTGGTTAGGCAGTCACTTGGGCTCAAAATGAAGTAGGTAGCAGTTAGCAAATTCCTAGAAAGACCAAGGCTGCAGGAAGGAGGCCCCCCAAAATGGGAGGCAGTGCCCATGAGGAGGAGAGCACACACCTCAGAATCACGGAGAAGGCGCAAGCCCCTCCATGCTACTTATTGCTAAGGGATCTAGGACACCAGAACTTCCGCTTCCTTGTCTGAAAAATGGGGACAATAATAGTTCCTGGTTGTTGTGAGGATTAAAATGAGAAACGTCCACAGAGAGTTTAGCATAGTCCACAACACTCAATGTGCGCAACCCCCACTCCTTTTTATCCAAGTGACAGAGCAGAGGGCTGCCCCCCGGGGCCCCAAATTAACCACCCTATTTGGCCTGAGTGACAGAAATGGTCTTTGCAGAGACACACAGAGAGTAAACAGACTAACAAGAAGGGATAAAGAAGTTGGGTCTAGAAGGGTTTAATTATGAGGAACCCCCCCCCCACCGACATTGCTCAAGTTTAAGGGGAAGGAGGTTTATGTTTCTTTTTCAAAGAAAAGAAAATCTTATCACATCTCTTTAAACTTTCTAATATTTAGCTGTTTTCTTTGGAGTCAAAAAGAATAAGTCCAAACTCCTTGACAAAACAGACAACTTACTTAAACCCCCCATTTCTTTGCTGTAAATGGGGATAATAATAGTATCAACTCCTCACTGAGCTTTGTTGAGGCCTACAAGAGATGACTGCCAAGCATTTAACCTAACGGCTGGCATACAGGAAGAGCTCAACACGTGTTAGGGATTATTATTATCTCACGGCTCCCTCCTTCCCCACACGCTTTTGTCTCTGACCACCATCTCTCAGGCCACTGTTTATTAAGCACTTTCTTCTTGTCAAGCCCTGTGCTGGGAACAGGGAAATCAAGACACACAGGGTCCCATCTGCTAAGTGCTTTCAGCCTTGTGGAAGACAAACACATAATAATAAGGTGATAGAAATCAACCAGGGTGGGAGTGGGGCAAAGGAGCAAGTGGTCTCCCCACCTCAGGATGGAGATGGTCTGAAGGTAAGATTACCATCTGGGGAGTCTGAGCAAATCAAGACATGAAGGGAGAGGTGTTACAGAGGGAGGGATGGGGCAGAGAGCCCCACAAGACATGCTCCAAGAGTTTGGACTTGACCCTGAGACAGAGAAGAAGATCAAGTACTTCAACAGCAGCATGAAGAATGAATCAGAGGCTGAAGTGTGGGTGTGAGTGGGTGTTGTATTCATTCATGTGTTGGGGGAAGAGAGCATCTTTCCTCCAGCATATTCTCCAAGAAGGAGATGACTATGATGAAAAGACATTAAAGAAGCAATCTAACTTAGGCAGTTAAAACATCAGGGGTTGTCAGGCAAAGAGTGGAATGAGGTGGATAGATGGTGTCTCTGTAACCGAAGAGGCTGGCTGGCCCAACTTCATGCTCCCCCTGTCTGTCTGGTGTTAGAGCCTGACTCTACCATTCACCAAAGGGAAGCAAAACCCAAGCATGGAGACCAGCTGAGAGGCTACTGCAATAGTCCAGTCAAGACAGCAGGGCAAGGAAAGGTAGGCATAGAAACTTAGGTATGGAGGGAAAGTCTTTCTCTCTCACTGCCATAGTTCCAGCTCTGGTCATTCATCTCTTAACCAGGGCATGAAGATGAGGTCTCCCTCAGCCACCTGGATTTAGAGGTGCGGACTGAAAAGAGCCTGGTGAAGCGTGTGATTGGGAGAATATTGGTGACTTCTGTCATGTCAGCTTCAGGAGAATGGCACAGGTGGGCAGAGTGACCTTTGAGGAGCTTCACTATGAACAAAGCCAGGAGAGAGAGAAGAGGAGCTGGAGGAGGAGCTGGGAAGGATAACGGGAAGGAATTTTTGCTTTTTAAAGATGAGAGTCTTAGCCATGTTCTACTGGATATATGCTGGAAAAGCAGAAGCCAGGAGAGAGGGGGAAAGCAGAAACATTTAAGAGGGAAAGACCAATAAGGCCAAATCCAGGTGCTGAGAGGGCGGGAGGGACCACAGCAGATATGGAAGAGCCAGCCTTGCCCAAGACTAAAGAAACTTCTTCACGAGAGAAGCAAGGAGAGGGACTAAGGATGGGGCAGGCGCCTCTGTCACTGCAGTGACACAAAACCGAGGAAAAGCAAAACTGAGAGTCTCAGTGTTCTCTATGAAAATACAGTCTTCCCCTGAAGGGAAGCACTTAGGGGAACATGAGGAGACGGACAAAGTTTAGAAATAGTCACAGGGGAGAAACACAGAGTTAGTGACTTTTTTTTTATTTTGAAGTTTCATGGAATAAAAAATAGACTCGCACATCAATGGAACAGAATAGAGAGCCCAGAAATAAACCCACAAATATAAACTCAATTAACTTACGACAAAGGAGGCAAGAATACATAATGGGGAAAGGACAGTCTCTTCAATAAATGGTTCTGGGGAAAACGGGACAGCCACACACAAAACGATGAAACTGGACCACTACCTCACACCACACACAAAAAATTAACTCAAAATGGATTAAACACTTGACTTAAGACCTGAAACCATAAAACTCCTAGAAGAAAA